GTGAGAGTGAGAGTGAGAGTGAGAGTGAGAGTGAGAGTGAGAGTGAGTGTGAGTGAGTGAGTGAGTGTGAGAGTGAGAGTGAGAGTGAGAGTGAGAGCGAGAGGGGGGCCGTGAGACAGAGAGAGCGAGGGAGTGTGAGTGTGAATGTGAGTGCGAGTGAGAGTGAGATAGTGTGAGTGTGAGTGTGTGTGTGTTACTTCGAGGTTCACAAAGCGCTGTGCCTGCCACGATATCTGCACTTCGAGGTTCACAAAGCGGTGCCTGCCACGATACCTGCACTTCGAGGTTCACAAAGCGCTGTGCCTGCCACGAAATCTGCACTTCGAGGCTTACAAAGTGCCGTGCCTGCGACGCAATCTGTAATCTGCACTTCGAGGTTCACAAAGTGCTGTGCCTGCCACGAAGTCTGCACTTCGAGGTTCACAAACTGCTGTACGTGTCACAAAATATGTGCTTCGAGGTTCACAAAGTGCTGTGCCTGCCACGAAATCTGGACTTCGAGGTTCACAAAGCGCCGTGCCTGCGACGCAATCTGCACTTCGAGGTTCACAAAGTGCTGTGCCTGCCACGAAATCTGCAAACGAGCCACATGTCCAAGAGTCGCGATTCACTGCACCTGTCACGAAATCAGAGCGCCTCGACGATCACCTGCCACGAAATCTGCACTTGGAAGTAACACCGCTTCGATCCCTTGCACCTGTCACGAAAAGTCGACTTTGGACAACCAAAACACGAGGTGTCCCTTGCACCTGCCACGAAAAGTGACCACCATGTGCAAAAATGCGCACGGCACCACAAAGAGCGCAGTCGCGACAAGCACACGCTCCAGCCACCCAGATTTCGCGAGCCTGCGCAGTCGAAATGCACTTCGAGGATTTCAACAGGCATAAGTGTACTGTAAATCGTAGCGAATTAGCCGTCCAAGCCCGCGCGCCCCAGCGATCTAAGCACAGCTGCTTAACCCTTACCGTAAGAACCCCTAAGTGTGTCCACATTGTTTGAGGAAATATACTTAAAGATAGATAGATAGATAGATCGACGGACGGACGGATGGACGGACGGACGGACAGAGATGGATAGATGGACAGACGGAGAGAGAGACAGGACAGGACAGGACAGGACAGACAAATAGAGACATAGACAATAGGTAGATAGATAGGCAAATGGGCAAATAGGTAGATAGGTAGATTAGGTAGATTGGGTAGGTAGGTAGATTGATAAATAGATAGACAAGTAGTATCCTGTGTGAACTCACGGGAACCGCGGCAAACGAGACGAGAAGAACATCATAAGTTGCATCGGAACACGTTGCCATGCAGCAGTCTGCAGCCTCATCCGGGAGCCACCGCACCTCAAGCAAACCGGCGCTGGGCATGAAGTGGCAAGGAACTACCAGCACTTCATGCGGGGCCTCTCCAATCCTCAAATACATCCGGAAAGACACGCGCTGATGAAATAGCCTTTGATACTCAGTGCAATGAGTCTCGTACAATGTGCCCTTTCAAAACACTTTGCTTGCAATGCAGCAACCAGTTCCAATCATTAATTGCGTTTCAACACGCTTCAAGTCCAAACCTCGTGGAGTACAGTCTGACATACATTCAGGACAGGCAGTCGAGACTTTCGCCACACTTCAGGGGTTTAGGATTGAAAAAGTTACAGTAAAGAAAAATGAATTAAAAAAGAAGGCGGACTCAGGCCCCTGTAAAGGGGCCTTGTGAAACGGAGACCCAATCACCTGCATGTTTCTCTCTGTTCCATCTACCCAAGGTCCCCAACTTTTTACATATTGGGACTTGGGCAATTTCTCCACAAGTCCTTCCGCCGTGGAACAGCTGTGTCTGAAGACATCAAGGCCTGCCATCAAGCTGTTGGTTCAGAGGATTCAGCTGGCTTCACTGGCGCATTTGAAGCTTTTTCGGTCCTAACTCCAACTGAACCATAGGAATTTGGTTGCGCCTCAGCTGCTGCTTGCAATCTCGACATGTGCGGTTGAAGCTCTCTTCGTAGCTCCTCAGGGGTATTTGTTGACTGTTTGACCTTCAAGTTGCACAGCACTGTACGACTGTATGGACAGTGCAGTACAACAGCTTGAAACCACCTCCGGCTAGTGCCAAAAGCATAGTGAAACGGTCGACATGCGTCTCGCTTGTCTGCTAAACCTACAGCCGCTTCCAGCTTACTCTCTCCTGGTCGCGTTGTCTCATCTTGCGCTGTACACGACATCCAGGCATTACATATATATATATATATGGTCAGCATATATATATATATATGTGTGTGTGTGTGTTTTGTTTTTGAGTTTGCCACGCGAAATTCCTGGCATAACTTCCTGCAATTACCCTTACCTGCAACTTACCGTCTTCCAATCCTCCGAGAGCAGGAAGAATCATTTATCGCTCCACCTCGCTGCTCATCCTGGGTTCCTCAAACAAATCGTCTTTGCCGTAAGATCCGCCTCCAACTGCCCAAGGTCACCCTCAACTCGCAGGTGGCCACGTGCTACAAGAGGCAGCGCAGCTCGCTTTCCGCCTGCTATGAGACGCTGCACCTCAGCAAACGAAAGGGCACTTCTTGGGAACAAGAAATGATTTTAATATATTGAAATCGTCATTGTCCGGGGCTACTTCATTCACAGGACTTGCCTGCACACATCAATGAATCAAGTGAATGACTTTCTTGTGCGAGCACAAGTGATACAAATCTCGACTTGGCCTGTTCAGCCAAGTCGGACAACCTATAAAATAGTAGAAATGTAATGGTTAGCAACTAACTTCATTAACACAAACTCTGCCGCCGCCGCCGCCGCCGCCACCACTTTGACCACAGCACCGTTTCCGTTGACTCGAAGCGCAACGTAGTTCGTGGCGACGAGGCCTCACAACTAGCTTAAACAGTTCCAGTGTCGAATATATAAAGCCAAACTACATGGGTTGGCCGCCTGGCCTCCCCCAGAACAGCCTTTGCTTTGCACATGATCACAGTACAGTCAATTGAAGACATGCACCTGTCTCAAACCCTCAAAGCGGAAAAACAAGGTCTGCTTGTAGATAGTGGTAGAGAGTACGGCCTGACCGCTGGCCACATACAAATGCCCTTGGTGTGTTCGTGCAAAGCCAATCTGCCCAGCCACCCCAACCTGACACAAGGAGGGCAAGTTGCTCAAACAACGCTGGACTTGAACACTCCACCTTTCTGGGTCGGGAACGTGCCATGTCTTTGATCCAACCAGGGTAAAATGCAATCAGGTTTTGAAGTGTGCAATTTCAAGCAGCAGGGTCGCCTGAAAATAAGACTTTACAAAAGAGGTGATTCGCAAACAAAAAATGCCAGAAAGTGAATAATGTTAATATGTGGGTGAAGGTTAGGGCGCTCTCAAGCAAGAAAGTGATTAGGATGATAACGCTGATTCGACTTCAACTGGACAACCCTTGCCTGCAGGTTGTAGTCCCCATCAACAGGCAAGCTAGCTAGGATGGCATTTAGCTCGGCCAAACTTGAAGAATCCATGGCATTTGGCAAAATGCGAAAGCTGTCTATTTGTTTTTCTGATTATTATGCATTTCATGTTCCTGCTCGATTCTATTGTTCTTGTTCTTGTTATATTTTCTCATTCCTCTTGATGTTCATGTTCTTTATCAGCTCGCTGCAATGAATACGCAAGACTTGGGTCTTTTGCATTGCATCCCCTGAGAATCAACATATAGGCATCAATTCGCTCTCACTGGTTCCAGACAAGTTTAACAGTGCAACAACTGCACACGAACCTTCTGCTAGGTCCCTTTTGGCAAGTTGCCTAAATGTAAGCTGCACCAAGTTCTCCCAACAAAGTTAGCGATCCTAAAGCGGCTTTGATGACTCCACCCAGAACCTACTTTGACTAAGCGCTGCTGTGATGTCCGGTGAATTTGAAATCCATCCTTGAGCCTGGAGTCTGGAGAGTGGCTGTTCAAGTCTTGAACAGAACGCAGGGAGTATATATAATGTAGATAGTAATGTACAATATATATATACATATATACTTTTGTAATATAATGTCAAGTCAGTGGTGGCAGTGCATGTCACAAGTTCCTGAAGCTACAGGGAAATCGAGAGCCAGAGACCATTGCGCAGGGCGCTGTGAGTTGTGGAAAAGGCACCGCCCAAGGGGCGCAGGGCACAGGCAATCTGGATGGAAAGCAGGGTTTCCCAAACAAATCCAGTTGCGCGTGTTGTTTTTAGAAAGTTGGCGACAGCCCTCAACCGTGGGTCTTAGCTGAGCTGCATCAGGGCTACCTGGGCGATCACCCCGACCATGCATTCATTGCTGAGGACAGTTGGGTTGGGACTATCCGGAAGAGTCGAGATCCGGTCGACCTTCGACCCTTCGACAATGTGGAACAATGGTCACAGAAAGGTGCAGCATTCAGTTGAAGAAGAAGGATCCGTGCTTGTGTCTGGCACCGTGGACATCGCTTACATTGTTGGGATTGTCGGCGGCAAATTTGAGCCTTGAAAGTGCAACAGAAGTTTACGTCGTGGAAACGGCCCTCTTTCGAAAGCACTCCTACCTCGCCAGGTCCCAGGTTCAGGCCTATTATATACATCTGCACGGGCAGAACATTGTCCATAAGACAAAAAGCGTGTCCTCGCGGAATCAGGAGCGGAGCAGGAAGTGAACGAAATGAAGAAGGTATCAGCCGCCATCCACGCGCTGGGATCCAGTTTCTTCCAGGAGTATACGTCAGGGAAGGGAGAGAAAACGCCCAAGACCTACAACCACATCACGTACTATGTGAGTTATCAAGATGCTCGCAGGAGGTCGCTGCTGGACAAGTCTCGGTAGAGTTTAAGAAAGGTCCACTCGCAGGCTTTGTGGGCAAGCAGTCCAGCAACACCGACCCGAATCAGATTCCTACGTCCTTCGCGATCGATAAAAAACCTTGCCTCCAAGAGATTCCCGAAGTGATTAAGCGCTCTATTTTGGCCGTTTTTGATACGCCATTTCCGAGGGTATAGATCAGACCCCCTTGCGGCTCTCAAGACTACGCCGATCGCCTTCGGCAAGGCCAAACTGGGCCAGTCATTCAAGGAAGCATTCTCCCAGTGAAGGAAGGCACCATTCCGAAGAAGATCAACCCTGCACAGGGACAGTCATTGACGATGATGACAGCGCCCGTAGGGCAAGACCCATATGGGAGACGACAATCTCGAGGACATCCCTGCACATCAGGAACAACGAAGCCGCACTGAGGCACCGGGAACAAGGCAGGAAGCTTAGCGCGTCCTCGCCTGATCAAGTGTGTGGAGGTTTAAGACACCAGGCGGCGCCAAGTCTGAACTGGAGCAAAAGTGCTGAGCTTCGAGATGCCATCCTACGGACCCACAAAGTAGATAGCTTGTATGGTATCATGGCAAATCAGTTTGGCAAAATTCCTCTGCGAACACCAGGCTGCGCAAAGGCAGCACTTTCACTGCGAACAACGACAAGGGTCCCCCACGCTAAAACTGGCATGTTTTCGAGCTATCATTCAGGCAACGAAGCCAAGCGTTTTTGACCTATGCCGGGTGAGCAATTTGCGAGAGCCACAGTCCATGACACCAATTCAACAGCGCCTGGTCGTTTGCAAAACGTCCAAAGAGCTGCGTCTAAACTTGAACCATCGAAAATCATCATCAGATAGCCTGAACTACAAAGTATCAGGGAGAAACAATGTCAGTATCTCAACTCTATTCCCGGAAATTTGCTAGACAGATCATTCAAGGCCTATGAGAAAGCTGGCCCAAGGAGAATTTGCAATTGAAGATGACAATCCTCCAACAAAACGATGTCGACTGAATCAGAAAAGTAATGCCTCCCATATACAACTACTGAAACTACTGTGTGAAAATGTCACATGGGAAGATGCCACGAAAGCAGCAGACGCCGAAGCACCTCGAGTAGGTCCCAAAGCTTTTGAAAGCCGTTCAACGCCTACTTACTTGCACGGTCAAGATTCCAAGAACATGAAAACAATGGAGAAACGGACGAATGCAGAAGTCCTGCCAGTCTCATCAAACTAAAGCCATCGAGCAAGCGAATCAAAATCAAACGCGGTTGAGGAAGGGCCTTCGGAGAATCAGAACCTCATGGGCAGAAGCTGAAAGGCTCAGAGAGAATCAGCAGCCCGAACCGAAAGACTTGGGAGATGAACGCCACGCCGTTGACCTGATTTCCGATAACCCTCAAAACAGAAGAAAGACTGTGGATCTTGAAAGTCCATAAGAACATGGGCCACCCCAGCGCGGCCAAACTCAAATTGTTTTGATGTCAATCCAGGATGCGCGGAGGAATTGTTGACGCTCTGGGTGACCCTCGATGCTCGATCTGCGCTGAACTGAACGGGCCGGAGCTTGCAAAACCCAGCGCCGTCCATGCCGACTTGGATTTTGGAGACATTCTAGGCATGGACGGAATCAAATGGAATTCTCTATATTTTGTGGACCAAGGAACCACATTCACATAGCACTCGCCACTCGTAGCCACTCTTCACGAGATGAAATTCGAGCCGTGACACAAGGGTGGATCAACTGGGCAGGCCCCCCAGGAAGGAACCCTATCGTGGACTCCGGAACCGACTTTCCATAGTTTTCTTCAAGAACATGATGTGAAACTTCGCACGATTGCACCAGAAGCCCATTGGCAGAATGCTACGCCATCCTAGACAACCTTCTTGGGAACTGCTTTATCCTTTGCCGCTCAAATAGAGAACAAATGGTCTAGGCGCAAAAAGGATCCACCGCAGTTACTGGTCTTCGGTAAACTCAGCAAGAGTCCTGAGTCAATCTCCAGCGATCTTTCAAGTACCTCTTGTGATCTTGCCTTGCAAGAGACACCTGAGTCAGGTCACCTGAATGGGCTCCTGAAAGTGATCTTGCAGGAAAACAAAAATGTGGTTTGGGCAGTGCTGGGTAGCAAGCTGTTTCGCATCACACCGGAACATGCCAGACCTCTGATAGAAGGACTGCAAAACATCAAAACTCGTGAATATCAAGACCTGCCGCAATTTGAAGTCAGGGAACAATCGATTTTTAGACACGCGCCCCACGTCCACGCCGTCACCTCCAAGTCCTGTCAGAGAAAAGGTGAGCGCTGATCAAAACAGTGATCAAAGTGGCGGAGAATTTCAGGTGGTCCTCAGACAGCTCATTCATAATCCGACCTAGCTCCCCCATCCGCGAAGATGAAATACAAGAAGCGCCGACTAATAGCCAAGTGAACTTGACTCCCGACCTGAAAATGCGCCAGTGCCCGTGGATGATGATGACGATGATGATGATGATGATGATGACGATAATGACCCTGTTCTTTGAGGCTTTCTCGCTCGAGGAAGATCAAGCCTGGAGGTTTGAAGTGACACTTGATCGTAGGGACATCGACATGCTGCGTCATGATGGTTCGTTTGCCGGTGACTCAGTGTTCTATGCTCAGAAGATCAACCAAACCAGAAAAGATCTTTCCGCTCGGCAGTCAAGAAGCGCAAACTTTTTTTACAGGGCTCCAAATTAGTCAACAGGAAGACTATTCAATCCACAATATGTCAACACAATATGTCAACATCAGTCCGATCAGCATTGACAAAGATCGAAGAAAGCGTCCTGAAGAACCAAATTTAGCAAGAACGTCAACCTTTCCGAGGGTTGATAGGCAGCCTCCAATATGCAGCAGTAACACTCGACCGGATTGTGGAAGTAGTCTCAACCTTGCGCAAAGCAAAATCAACAATGGCCAACTCCAAGACTTGATAGATGGGAAAAGGCCGTGGCATGATGCCAAAGTCCATTCCGATGTCAACTGAAAGTGCCAATATAGTCCAAAAGAAGACTTTTGTTTTTAATTCTCAGATGCTTCGTGTGCCTCTGAAGAGCTCAGCCTTCACATCAAGGACTGACTATGATGGCGCATCAAGACATAGGTAAGAACCGCATAAGCGTCGTCAATCCCAGTCTGGTCCTCCAAGAAGATCCAAAGAGTAGCTGTGAGCACGCTGTTATGGCTCTTGCAGGAACCATGGCTTTGTTGGCCTGGCGTCGACTGTACTGGGGCTGGCTTCTAGACGAAAGCTGTCTGTGGCACCTATAGGTGATCAGACGTTGTCCAAGCTTTCACCAGCTTTTTGAACCTTCAAAGATGAACCTGAACCAGGAGATCCGAGTCATGGGGGAGAACCTCCTCAAGCTCCCATGAGATAGATCACCAGGACTCCGTAGTCGCAAGCGACTGCAAAAGCTTGTTTGTCTTAGTAAGCCGTACAGCCCCACCAGCTTGTCAAGAATTTCACCCTGTTGCAAGCGCGATTGATCAAGGAACACCTAGCCACTGGGATTGCAGTGCGTTGGGTGCGTGCACAAGTTGTGGACTGCTTGACACAAATCATGGACAACACGACACCCAGAGAAATCCTCAACATAGGCCGCTATCAATTGAAAGATGAAGATGAAATCCAACCAGTGGAAGAAGGAAAAGCCAAGGCTTCCTCTTCCACTTCAGGTTGAAAGTAGTCCATCCTCCCTCAATATGGGCACGCATGTTTTGAGCCACCGAGCAAGAGATCTCTGCGAAGACTGAGACCAAGAAGGGGAAAAGAATCTTGAAAGGGGAAAAGAGTCCGTGCCTGGTCCTTGAACATTCGTCCTTTCTTGAACTGATTTCGGGGTGTTTTTGGTAAACGTGGTGGTCACAGCTGTCCTGGGAACGTGCTCGACAAGATGCTTTGATTTTCAAAAAACTAAGTGGTGCAGTGCATGTCACATGTTCCTGAAACTATCGCTCTCTTCCTTTCGATCTCAAGGGAGGGTGGGTGGTCTGACGTGAGGAGCCATCGTCTTTCGAAGCAAGGAATTCGGAGCCAGACACCATTGCGCGGGGCGCTGTGAATTGTGGAAAAGGCTACGCCTTGGGTGCAGGGCACAGGTGATCTGGAGGGCAATTCATCCAGTTGCGCGTGTTGTTTTTACAAGGTTGGTGAGAGCCCTCAACCATGAGTCTTCAGCTGCCAGTTTCAAATCATTGCAGAATCGAGAATATAATATATATATGCAATATATACACACAGTAAGATTTAATATATATATATATATAGTAATTGTTAATATATATTGTGTATATATATATATTCTTTTTCAAAATGAGGGAATGACAGACAGGGGCATCAAGTGGCTGAAGACCAAACTCAACCAGGCCCAAAGTTTACACACATTCCACCATGGCCACCATGGCCTGTCGATTCAGATTCTTGCCAATGAAGGTCAACTTGCAAATGCGCCTCAAAGAAGTCGGTGACGACACCAGAGTAGAGAACAATTCTCTATGCTGAAAGAATCTGGACGAACAAAAGACTGGACATGTTGACAGCAAGTGTTTCCCGTGTGTCTTTAATTTGATTGGTTAATGTAAAATATAAGTATGACTTTGACTTCAAGTGTGATTTTAACTCTCCTTGCAATGTAGGGCTGCACTGTCTCCGGACTCCTGCACTACACTGCCTGCTAGCGGTAGTAATTATTTAAGTTATAGTTATTCATACTATTTCAACCAATCGATGATGCTAGCCAAACGAGACAGCGTTACAGGATGAGTGAGAAGGACAGGAAACGGGATGATTGTGGCAAACAAAAAGAAAACAAAGCTTGACATTGGCAGAGATATGGTATTTCCAATAGAAAGTCACGGAGGAACAAGAAGATTGTCAAATTGACATGATAAGAGAATAGTCTAATGCACTTGATATTGCCTTGCGTGTCGCTGTAAAACGCCTGTAAAGGTACCACTTTGCAATCTTCCCCGATGCTGCTACTATTGGCACAAAAGGGTCCTGACAAACAGTTCAAGTCCAACCCATCTGTCAAGTGCATGAGCAAGAAGCTCTCACCAATCCTGTGAAAGTCAGTCAACCCTTGGCATCGGACTCCTCGTCAGGTTCCCACGGCTTTTGTGGAGCGCCAGAGAAGGCCATGTGAACAGCCTCCACTTCAAAGAAACTTCATAAACGCCACAAGTGTTTGGTGAGTAACAGGTACTAGTTAGTATATAGCAGGCAGTGGTTGGAAGTGGGAAAGCAGTAGTAGCAGAACTCGTTACCGTATTGATTGACAATAGAATGGCACTACTAGAAGTAATATTGTAGCAGTAGACAGACTGTTCTTGTTCCACTATCTAGGCTTTTGTTGGACCCCTCTAATTGCTTGCGCCTGGAAAACAAACTTCTCTTTCATACCTTGCACTGCCAGAACTCCTTTGGTCCGGAAAATGTCCACACCTCGCCTGAGTGCTCAAGTGACTCGGTCTTTCTTTACCATGAGTAGTTTTCCTTGCACTGAAGCCTAACCCAATACTGTTCGACTCCATAGGAATCTGAAGCTTCGGAATTGGTCACAACATACACCATGCCACGTAAAGCTACCTCCCAAATTGAATAATATATAGATGTATGACAACTTCACATCCAAGTCTCCCTCAATAGAACCTGTTGACCCCAAGCAGAGGGTGAAAATCACAAACAGCACTTGAAGGCACTTAATTAGCCAGTCAACGCATACAAGAAGAGCAGCAAAAGAGGCTGCATCAGTGTACAAACCGAATAGGAGTGAGGCAGCAAGCCACAAGCCCCTGCCAAGAGACGGCAACTAAATGCACATTCCAGCGCAGCAAAGGGTAGCAAAGCGTGGAAGAGCATTTGCCACAGTCTTTGTTTGCCTGCAACCTTTGAGATCCACGCTCTTTCAGAAGCCATGCAAGCCACTCGTTCAGGCGCTGCTGGTGCACCTTCGACCACTAAGAACCAGTCCAAGCCTTCAAGCCAGGCTACACTAACAACAGCAAATCTGCTACACAGGCCATGCTGCAAGCCATATCGAAAAGAGTATTGGTTGTCATAGTTTTGTGGCGAAGCTTGACGTGCTGTGCCTCACCCTTCACGTGAAAGCCACAAGAAGAGACACGGTCATCATGTTGATGATCTTGATCGTCCTGCATCACTCAAGCCACACCGTCACTACAAACACAGCCTTCCACGCTGCACAAAATAAAGGGCCAACCTCCAAAAAGGCATCATCCATCTCCAGGATCTTGTCCAAGTTGAAGGCTTGGATGCCCAAAATAAAATCCATGTCAACCTATTGCATAGAAGCAAGGCAAAATCTGCAAACAAACCAGTCAAACGAACACAGGAAACTGAAGACTCAAAGGTTCTATTCCCACCCAGAATAGAACTTTGCAGTCAAAAGCGGCATGTCCATACGCCTGTGACTGGGTGGTGCGTTGAATTTTCACCTCGGCATTCAGCCGCAACTGAGACACCTGAACAAATGCTTTGATCTCCAATGCCGAAGACAATTTCATAGGCAAATAAGGAACAAATCGCTTGCAGTGCTCTAACCAGCTCTTTAGCCAGAAGTATGTTGAATGTTGACATAGAAATTGCAAACCCTGAGCACCTGGCAGACTCATTGATCATGCGAATTCGCCTGGCATCTACAAACAGTTTGTAAAGACGAAACCACGCTGGCCTATCGATACTTTGTCAGACTGTGTCTTTGTTTTTTCATGGGCACTGTTGCAGTCCTTAGTTGTGTGTAGGTGCATATTTGCACATCTATTTAGATTGTAATCTTAAACGATTGAATATCAGGATGCTCACTGAATTGTGCCTCTCCACTTCGTCCAGGTGGGCCTCCATATTTGCATGGCTGAAAAGCATGAGTCAGACAGTCAGACCTACTTAGTTGCAATTGTTCGACATGTCATATATATGTGTGTGTGTCAAGTTTGTAGATATATATATATACATACCTGAGACGGGGGACGAAAGCCAGCAGCCGCCAGACGAGTGTCTCTTTTTCTGGCCGGCGTCGCGGCACAAGACATATGGTCGGCAGCTTGCGAGTCAGCGGTGCCGCGGATGCGGGGGGGCGTATGTAATGGTGATGGAGGGAGGAGAGAAGCAAGCCGGGCGGCTTTAGGATAAGTTTGGTATGAAAGAAGTAGTGAAAGAGAAATGTGATACGTTGTATGTTGATGTAAGTCATCATCACAAGGCAATGGCATGCGCTTGTCACATGCAGGAAGGTATGCATCTTATGGAAGTTGGAAGGCGGCATCAGCGTTAGCGATGGGAACATACCGTCTGAGTTTGAGTGGTGGGATACCACGCGCATCACGCACGCGTGCGCGCGCAGGAAGGCCTTATCCATAGTCAGCCTCGCGGCGGGAGCACCGTGCGCAAGTACGGCGTGCGTTTGAAAAGCAGCAGCTATGTGTTGTTACTTTTGGAGTGTTTGAAGTTTGCAATGCATACTGCGGCGCGTCGAAATGCGGCATTCGTTGATTTGGAAGAGTGAACGGGCACGTCCTAGCCGGGACACGGCGTTTCATCCCGCGGCGCAGAAGGGGGGGTCCAGCGGGAGTAGCTTGGGCTAGCAAAGGAGTGAGGATTTGTGCGCCTATCGATGCACATGCCTGGACTTGAGTGAGTCATGTTCGGGCTCGATCCAAGACACAGTCTTTTTCCTTTCAAGGGCCCTTTATTAAACGATCCAAACACCTTCTTTATTTTTCTCTTCCTTATCAACTCTGCGCCTTTCTCACTCAGAGGCAGTGACTTTGGCACCTGCGTGTGTAGATCTTTGGGCCGTGGACCCAGGCCCAGGCTGACTGGATTCGGCCAGGGCTGCCAGCCAAAAGGCGACGTCATGAGTCAGTATTTAGAAATTATCTATCTATCTATCAATCTACCTATCTACTTATCTCTGTCTCTATCTCTATCTCCATCTCCATCTCTTTCTCTCTCTCTCTCTCTCTATCTTATCTTATCTTATCTTATCTATCTATCTATCTATCTGCACCGGCAAGCCGGAAAAACCTTCGGTGCGTGTGGACGCCGTGAGAAGCATCCACTCGACCGAGGACATGGTGCAAGTATAGTTTTTGCTAGGGGGCACGAGCCCTATGTAGATATGTAGTCAACCTCGCAGGCATCCCCACCGAACCCCAATCCAAAATCATGGACTTGAACTCATGTCACTTTCGGTTCTCTATGGATTTCGTGAGTTACGGGTTGTCCTGGGGGCGGCTGCGGTCTGCTCTGTATGCGGGTCCCTGTCTCCACTCGATTGCTCAATGCCCATTGTCCACATAGCCTCCAAAGCCCTTCATGATGCCAATGATGCACTACTCAGTACCCGCCGTCCAGACCTTATTCCCTCGCTTTGGACTCCCCCACCAAGCTCTGGGTTCACCCTATCAAAAGGTCCACACCCCCCACACCCCCTTAACTCACTCCGTTCGCCCTAAAAGCTCACGCCTAGCCTATCGGCTGGCTTTCGTGATATTCCATCAATGAATTCCTCTTGGCATTGAAGCTTGAAGAAATAGGTTGGGAGAGAGGAACTGAAGAGGCTGAACGAATCTTCAACACCCTTCCGATCCATGTTCCCATGAAGGATCCATAGGTGTGATCACGTGAACTGATCAATTAGAACCACAAACTGACTAAATCAAAACTCTGGAACCACAAAGCTGACTAAGAGTCTAGGGGGTATCTGCTTCAAAGCATGAAAGTCGTGTCACCTCTGCAGCTATAGCTTTCTCGGGCTTGAGATTTGCAAGAGAAATGAAAGACCGGTGCAGATTCCCCAACTACAATCAATTTGGTTTGTTTAACTCGGCCAAAACTCACAAGCTTAATCTTCCGCCTCATCCACTAAGTCGCACTTGTTCAAAACAATCCGATCTGCGAAGGCCACCTGCCCCGAGACTTTTGAAAGAACTATTCTTGCTGCTGATTCCGGAGGCCGGAGGTGTAGACGGAGGTGTGAACAAAAAAGCTGATAAAGACGTGACAATTTTTAAACTTTAGTGCACCTGAAGCACTTGGAATCAAAATGTTCAGGTCTTCTCTCGCATGCACAGAGTTCGAGTTTTTGACATTTGAGATACCTGCTCCACGGCTTCGTTCTCAACTCCCTCAGGCTTCTCCTGCAAAAACAGGCTGTGACAGTGTCTGGTCAATACAAGCGTGAAGAAGTTCACGAGTCGGACAGAAGTTGAACAGTAACGATAAGAGCAAGAAAGTCTTGAGCAGACTCACCATGCCTCGACTCCTATCCCGTTTCTGCGGAGTACAGTACAGTGCATTGATGTACTCTGAAGGAACAGCAGCGATCTCTTTTGTAAGTATCAAACTCAAGAACGCGTTGATGCCAAGCATGCTTGATTGTGCAATGGTGCCAAAGGTGATGGATCTTTTGGACAGACCCAGCTTGGACAAGTGGACTCACTAGATCTGTCATCACAGTCATCACTTTGTTCTGCTCAACGAACGTGCCTCATCCAGGTGCATAATAAGATGCTTGGCATCAACCAAAGTGACAATGCCATCTAGATGCCTCGGCAAATGCCGCAGTGTCAGACTCTGCCTCCATGATGTGTTTTCATTGTTCCACAACTGCAAGCGAGTGAAAGTCCAAGCGTTTTTCAAACGATGTCTAGCTTTCCCCCTTTCCACTTTGGCTTAGCAACTACAAGCGAGCAGCAGAAATGCAAATGGATCTGGGCAAAAAAGAACTCCTGTAGTCGGAAAAAGATACGGCCTATCTGTCTAGAGGAGAGTATAGCGAATGGAAATAGAAACGTCTCTTTCTTGGCATCTTGTAAGAGACTGCGGCTTGTGGTGCATCCAGACGCATCGAATGGGCTCGTTTGCGTCTTCTTCTAATTTCTGAAGACAAGGTGCAGCTTCTGCTGCACATAGTCATCAGCAAAAAAGGTCTGCGCCTTGTCATACTTTGCAAAACATGTTCTTAATTCAGGTGACATGAGCACTGACACATGATTGAGGTTTCTCAGGGTACTCTCCTACAGGAATGAAGCTGTATCTGTATATATATTTTTTTTATATATCAATGCTGCCTTACGGTGAAAACTACGTTGATGCCAAATGGTCGTGGCTCTGCCCGACTTTACATCAGAATCTAGCTCGCACGTTTTGGATCTGCCAGATCTACTGCCGCATTTACTGCAAGACAATGTTACGCCACCGTACAAGATAGACATCGGGTGAAACAGGCCCTTGCTACACCAACAGTTGAATACACTGAATCTGTAAGTCAGCAATTGCAGAATTCTTGACATGAGTCCCCAACCACTGGCGCAGGATCTGCCAAGCCAGTTGTCTCTATTATGACCTTCCCACAGCTCGCAAACAGCACTTTATAGCGATGACGGATGATTTTCCTGGTGCGTGTGCATCTCAGGCAGATGCTCTTTCAATCAATGCTAATTGATAGATCAAGCTGCGCTTCTACAAAACAATCTGGCAACAAAACCATGCCCTGCCAACGGCTTACATGCAACTGGTGACCCAAGTGCCCTGCCCCATCAAGAGGCTTCTGGTTCTTAATCGAATTCTTCACCTTAAGCCCGTGGTATGGCGTGGTCCAGCTTGGGATCATTTGGCAGGGAAGGGAACAGCTGCCATAGGCCTTTATAAAGCAACATTCAACAACTTTGACAAGCTGAGATGGAGGAAAATCATGCCTCATATGTCAGAACAAAAGCTGTCTGTGTCCCAGGGAGCCTCATTGGCATCAGAATCATACTTTTTTGAGACTACTCAATGTCAGCATCATACCGCCGAGGAAAAATGAAGGCAACATCCCTCAAGCCTTCCTCCAACACCAACAGCGCAAATCCGAGGCCAGGGCCATCTTCTTGAGACCAGCTATCAGGTCTCCACGCACCGTGCAGCAAATGCATCCATTGTTCATTTCGATGATGTTCTCCTTGGAAAGGGGACATAGACAATAAGAACCTTGTAGAACAAGAGCTTGCTCGGTTGCGTTATTAAACACTTCTGACCAGTCTATTCGAGAGAATATGAGAGAATGACAGAGAAGCAGAAGAACAAACCGTTTTCCAGTGAGACTTGTGAGATATTGGGGCTTTCCTCCAAGTCAAAAAGCACAGAAGTGTTGAGAAGGGTTCAAGTCAGAGTTTGGGCGGTCAGTGTCGACACTACAAGAAAATGCAATTACAAATACTGTTCCGGTCCAAACACGAAGATTCAATACTGTCAAGAGCTGGTTTTGCATGTTTCGTGATGCCTCGGTGGTCAACGGTCCAGCTTCAATCAAGCTGTCATCAATACCGACCTGCGCAAAAACGTGTTCCTCTTCGTTTGCCAGCAAGGTCTTCTATTTTAACAAAGCAGTAAAGTACGACTTGATTAGCCATCTTAAACTCTTTACAACCATCTTGCATCCGAAGTCTTCGCACAAGAATAGAACTTTTTCCTTCTGAGTGTAAAGAGTTTGACCTCACCGAACTCATTCTCAATGACAGCAATGCGCTTTCCGTGAAACTCCTGTGTAAGTGTGCTTCTGGTTGATTTTGCTGTTCGGAGATTGTTCAGAGCGAGAAGTAAGTCAATGTTCGAGACTCCTTAGTTGGTGCAATGCATGAACCTCCCAGTCGTTTCTATCAGTCAGCCTGGTTCAAGTTGAAAAATGGAATGAAGTCATGAAAAGATAGAAGCTCAAGGCGGCATTACAGTAAATAAAATCCCAGTGTCCTTGAGAATTCGATTGAGCAGCGTGGTCTTGCCACTGCCTGGCAAAAAATCAATCAAAAAATATGACTTGCAAGCCCTCAAACGTCGTACAAATGTTTCAGCCCATGTCATGATTGTAGAAGAGCATGCACGGCCCTAGGCGGAGTGCATGACAAACCGCGAATGGCATCTACTACAAAAAGACTAATATCCCAGCAAGAGATGCCCGGCAGTGTTGAGTAGAAGAACACAAGGGTATATAAGCCAGTTTCCGTCCGCACTCTAAAGCACACACATCCCGGCGGGTTGAAAACTGAACGTGCGGACATGTGTGTTGAAAAAACGGCAGTGATTGTTGTGTGGTACAGGAAAACTGCGGCTTTAAGTTCATGTTTGATGCTTGTACCATTGCTTCATGTCGAGTTCACAATTGGATTCGGCAAAATCATGGTGTCGAAGCGGTGTCGAAGTTGAAGTAGGAAAAGCACTACGACTACATTTTCGGCTTTCCATCCGCAGGCACACACATGAAAGCCCACATATGAGAGCACACACATTAGAGCTTGCATATGAAAACACATTAAAGCACAGAGTGGAGCACGGGTACCGACGGAAGCGTCTGATACTCAAAGCTCAAAAGACTTAACTCTGGAGTTACATCGTCTCCAAAAACGAATCCAGCCTAGGTCTGAACTCTAGAGGAAACCCTGTGGTTTTGCACTGTCATGTACAGACGAGACTAAACTTTCCAGATCAGTCTTTAAGCCCTGCAAGACTCCAGAGCTTTTCCTCGAGCAGAACAAGGTTTATATTATATCCTCAACTAGTCTCTCTCTTCACAGAGACTGAAGGAGGAACACTTGCTTGGCTTCGCGAAGGGATCGCTTGCATAGCGTCATAGTGGTTGAGTCCAAGAAAACCTGTCCACATTGGAGGGCCCTAAGCCTCTGCATTAATCTGAGAAGGCGGTTCGACCACGAAGACGGCTTCATCCAAAGATGGCCGATTGGTCACGACATGTATGGGGCGGAGAAGGAGATGTGACATGGCTATTAAAGCCAAATCGTCCCCCCAAACACCTGGCCGCCTCAAAGCTTGAAGGTACGATTCAAGGGATGGCCACTTTGTATGGAGCCAAGGTGAACACATTTGAGGGAATGTGGCCAATTAGGAACACACCTGTTGTCTAAAAGCAAACGGGTCGATTGGTACGCCTGCTCACCATGCAACTGCCACAAACACGCAATTGAGGCGGAGTGGAATTTCTCTCCAGGCCTTTCCAAAGACGTATTTCCACAACGTTCAATTGACAAGGCTCGCTTTTCACGCTGCTCCCCACTTTCTTGCTAGGAAGCCAGGTTTAACTGATCCTGTTCCCACTTGGCCTTGGCGTTCTCAAAAACTCTTGCGTCTCCTGGAAGCAGGTCCCTCTTGTAGTTTCTGAAGCTGCTTCGTTGTAGTGCTGCTAAAAAGCCTGATCAGAAGGGCGTGGGCTTCGGAATCTTCTGCTTCACGAACTAACAGGATAGTCGGCACAAAGTGGATGTGAGGGCCGTTCTTCGCGAGATGCAGCCTAGCTGGTCCCACTGATCCAAGTAGGTCAAGCCGCATCAACGAATCTGCATCAACGCTCCTGGGACAGCTCCTTGCCTAAAAAGCAAGACGCCAGAGGCACACCCGACGAGCAGCACCAGCCGCCATGCGACGCCAATGGCCGCCAAATGTGGAGCTAAAATGGAGCTTAGCGCCGACAACTTTGATAGCCTAAGCTGGAAGGGGAATTGAGTAGCAGAAAAACAAGCCAATAAGCTTGCGAGATAATGCCCAGCAAATCTTCAAGACAAAAAGACTGAACTCTGGAGTTTAGACATGGTAGGTAGTTCAAGGGAAAAACTCACTAAAACAACCGCATCCCTCAATATTCTTTTGAAGAGAGCCCAAGCGCGCAAGCACATGAGAGCACGCATATGTGAGCAAGCACATGAGAGCCCACACGCGACTGCACACACATGAGGGCACATACATGAAAGCATATACAGTAGTTACATGAGAGCACAGAGATATGAGACCAACCATATGACAGCAAGGGACACATGAGCGCACATGTGAGCACAACAAAAGGCACAGCAGATCTGTGAGAGCACACACAAACATGGGAGCACACATAGGTGAGCACAATGTTGAAAACACACAAACACACAAAAGAAATATATATATATATAGTGCGGGGTAAGAGTGAGCGCACATCTGAGAGTATACAAATGGAAGCACACTTGCGAGAGCAAACACATGAGGGCACATGCAAAATTAGATCCAAACGCGGATTTCGTGGCAGGCGCAGCAGTGTGCGCAGCTGGACATGCAGATTTTGTTGGCGTTGCAGAATTTTGTGAACCTCCAATCGAAGTCCAGATTTCGTGGCAGGCGCAGCACTTTATGAACTTTCAAGCGCAAACTTCGTGGCAAGCGCAGCAATCTGTGAACCCCTGACACATGTGTGCTCATATTGTGTGCTCTCATGCACTTCCTCACATACATGCGTGCTCTCACGCGAAATCCGCACTTCGAGGTTGCCAAAGCACTGGGCACGCCACGAAATTTGCACTTCAAGAAGGTTCACAAAGTCTAGCACCTGCCGCAAAGTCTGCACATCAAGATTCACATCGCGCACCCCTGCCAGCTCGTTTCACAAAAAAACACTTCCAAAGACAACATCAAGATGCCAAAACACAGCTTGCGCTGTATATATATACCCAAATTCGGAAAATGAGCCACATGTCCAAAGCACACGATTCACTGCACCTGCCACAAAGTCAGAGCGCACCCAAGACCACCAAGTCCAAAGTGCTGCACGAAGTTGCACATCAAAGTAGAATGGCTCCGATCTCCAAGACACGAGGATTCCCTTTCCCCTGCCAAGTGAACCACCAAGTCTGAAAAGGTGCACAGCACCACAACGCTCGGGCCCAGCAGTTTACGCGAGTCTGGACGTCGAAATGCACTTCGATTATCTCGAGGCATGAATGCACGTTAAATGGCAACGAATTAGGCAGACGCAAATGTGAGCACCTCGATCAAACCCAGCCTTAACAATTACCGCAAGAACCTCCAGGTGTGACCACACTGCTTGGGTACTGAAGAAAAAACACATTTTTGGTGGCACCCTGGAACTAGAACATAAGGTGGACTGTCAATGACCTATATAGATGTTTGCAGCTGTTATTTACTGTGTCATTTTTCTCTGACATGTCCAGTGTTTGCAGGCAAATGACTTTTCTCACATAGTTGAATTGCAGCGTAAGGCATTCTGATTGTACCGTGACTGTATCTTTGCCGTGTGGGGGTAGAGCAGGCCCTACTTTTGGCCTCTTCTTTCATGTCATTGAACTTGGGCTACTGATACTGTCATCGACCAAAGGCTGCACCAAGGTCCACACCCAAGAACCCAGTCAGCACTGTGACAGGCACCTCAAATAGCTTCTTTTTTGGCGCTTCAGCTTTAATTCAATTCAGCTCCAAAAACCACAATGTGGAACCAACAAAGGAGCCTTGCCACCGGCCTTTTTCTCTTTGGTGGCAGCCTTAGTCAGGAAAAACAAATCATAAAATGAATCCAATACGCCGTTACGCCTATATATATCCCATTACGCTGACGTGCCCATGGTCAGAATACAAATTTGCCCAGATGTCTATAAACAGAACGCGGAAATACCTATACAGTAATCACCCATTATTATCAGCTTTAGATCGCAGCGGGACGCCTTTTGCTAGAGGCCTGCATTGTTGAACGTTTGTGAAAGTGAGCAAAAAGCAACATAGGCCTACTTGAACATTTTGATGATGCACGAAACCTTTTCAATGTCACAGCATGTCTTGCATTATGGCTGTCTTTGGGGTCTATTGGTGGCTGCAGCAATGGATAGTTGGACTGGTGGGTACCCACCAGTCCACTATAAACTGTGTTGGATATAGTCTTTGTGTTCCTCTCCGGTGAATTTGTGCAGGTCGTCTCTGTCGAAACGACACAAATATCACTCAGTTCCGAAAATGAGAAAGAAAGCCCGGAGAAAACTCGCCAGCAAAAAATGTAGAGAGAGAAGGGATGGGGATTTGGGAGAGAAAAGAGCAACTACGCATGACTGCCAATTCACTAAGCAAGCTCAAGACCTGGCCTCTGCTTGCGCAACTTTGGCCTTCAGCTCAGCCCCCAATTCCTGGGAAACGGTTTGAATGGAACGATGGAACTTCGCAAACAGTCAGAAAATGCAAAACCACAAAAAGTGCAGGTGCCCTGGCTTCATGTCATCCAAGGCCAAATTTGCTACTCTAGCTTGATGTCGTAACCTGCATTTTGACTTTCCTGCGCGCACTGGTAGTCAACAGCAGCCCGCTTGTTCGCTCCAAGGCCAGTAATGATGTCACCTCTCACCTCATGAAGCACTCGAGCACTCGCTGACAGGCTACAACAGCTTTTTTTATCTTCTTTGTCGTGGTGCCGCAAGTTCATCAGGAGCTCTCAATTCAATCATCGGTACCTTTTAGCTACAAGGTTCAAGCTACGCTTCATGCTTTGAGCGAGTAGAAACATGGAAGGACAAGCAAACACCCGAGATGTATTCAGCTGGTCAGAAACAAAAGGCCGTGGGCCAACCACGAAGCTTCATGCTTGGCAAGCAAGATTGTTCAGCATCGTCCTTTATAATAGTGCAACCTTCCTCGTTGGCAGGCCTCGTACATCTTTCGAAGGACATCCTGCAAAGAATCTGGAAATGCTCAAATTTGGGGCCAAGGAGATGAACAAAAGGCTAGCGATGCACAGCAATAGTGCAATACATGTTAAAAGTAATCACTGGTGAAGTGGTAGGCTCTTGCCCCTGCTAAGGCGATACATGCTTTCAGTTCGTGAAGTGCTAGGGTTGCTAGGACCTGGTGGGTATATAGTGTATAAATATATATATATGTATATATATATATACTGTAGTACCACTGGTGGAGAAACAAAAACAGAGCTGCAGCTCACAGCAGGATCGATTACGTGAAAAAAACGGAAACAAACTCGATGATTGATTTCCCTTTAATGGGGGTGAAAAGGTACACACAAAGATCAACACTCAACCGCAGGACGTCAGTCATGAAAAAGTATTGGTGTCTCCTTCTGCTCCTCTGACAGCTTTGCCGTGTACTCCTTGACAAAGGTATTTGGTTCCTTGCAAGAAGCACTGAGGAAGTAAGACATGATGTTAAAGTTAACAAGCCTTCTGTGCAACAAATGTGAGGAAGAAAGGTTGCCACTCTTGTGGAATTGCTTTGAAGAAACAATGTCAAACTTACAATCAGCTGAAAAATTGCTTTGAGACATGCTGGCATTCCTGTTTACAGTATCAGCACCAAACACAAGAGTTTTGACTCTTTGCTGCTGACATTCTGTCTGTCCTTGACTATGCGATCAGATTCATCGCCAACAACCTTTGGGAAGGAATACTCTCAGCACAAAAACTGATTCTCAGGAAATGGACCAACTATTTTATATACACAAAAATGTATGGGAACTGGATAATTTTAACTGCCAAATATAATGTTTCCACGGTCCATCTGCCCTGCAGAATCAAGCAAGAACACATTGATTGCAGTACCGAAATACTGTCCTACTTGGAGGAGTTTGCCCAAGAGCGATGCACTGTGTTCCAATACAATTTTTTGTATCCAAGCTGTTCATTCGCAACTGTGGTCTTGCGCCTAGACTGCACATCCAAACAAATTGTTTTGTTCATGTTTTCTCATCACAAGTGCCTGCTACCAAATACATTCAGGTAGTCTTCGGCAGCCTTGGCATACGCCTCCATGCAGGAATTGATGAACCTGCCGAGCAAGTCCGGAAGATCCACCAAAAAAACACACAATGGTCCGAAATATGTCACAAACAAGTCGGGGTCGCTGCACGCCATCAAAAAAACGTTCCTCTTTCAAAGCCTTGATTCGATCGATTCTTCACTTCGAAATGTATAATGCGTATAGAACAATCTTGTGTTTTTTCACTCCAGGCAGTTTACGCCCCACAACACATCAAGCAGCAGGGATCATAGCAATGCAAAGTTTTGTGTACCAAGGCAAACTGTAATCTACTGAACTCACTACTGACCGTTGCAATCTGTTTGCATCTTGACTTTTGCAGAGAAAGATCACAGGTGAAAAGTAATCATTGCTGACTTGGCACATCCCAAACCTAACCCCTTCCAGTCATTTCCACCAAAAGCAACAACTGGGAAGTCAACGACTTTGGCAGATTCAAAGCCTGGCTCGGTCAATTGAGGCAAGAACATGTCCGCTGTGAACCAACTACGCATTTTTCCAACTAAAAACAAGTGCTGATGTGCCAGCCTTCATTCCAGGGAACGACCATTGCAAGAAGGTCCCGATGATTCAAAGAATACACGCAATGCACATGTTATTTCCACTAATTGCAGACCTTTCGATTTTGCTATGTCTCATTCAATGTCCACACTGCTTTAACTCTTCCTTTTGACTCCAAAGCCAACATAAGACTGGTCAATGCAAATGTGCAGTGTGGAACCAGGAGCCCAACCACTGAAAGAAGGTGTGTGGGAAGCATTTCAATTATTTTGATAAATTTCGTCAGAAATGAACGTGTTTGAAGGGTCGCTTTGTATGACAAGACTGCACCGCTAACACCTTTAAAAAAATCATCCAATCTACAATTCCGAATTACGAAGCTTTGGTCGAATTCACGATGCGTCTGGGTCATGGCTGCACAACCTCACCACAGAATGGTGCTGTTATGGTCAATGAAAAGAATAGGTGGTCGGGCGAGGGCTCAAAAAAATCAAAAGTGAGTCAAGAAGTTATTTCAGAGGATCAAACTAGACGACGAGTGGCCCGAAAGCATTTTGCATCACGTAAGAAGTCAGGGTGTGAGTTTTCTGTTAAGTGTTCAGTGTGAAGTGTTAAGTCGAATGAGTTGAGGCAGTGTGTGGGTCTCTGTGTGTGTGTGTGTGTATCTATGTCTGTGTGTGTGAGTCTCTGTCTGTGTGCGTGTGTCCGAGTAAGTTGAGGCAGTGCGTGGGTCTGTGTGTGTGTCAACCCCTCAAGAGAGCCGGGTGGTCGGGAGACATGACTCAGCTGCAGGGGCGCCAAAGCAGCCGCGAGAGATGACTCAGCCGCGAGAGATGACTCATCCGCGTACTAAAGTTGCACTACAAAGTCGCCAGTTCTCATCTTCCAGCTCCCCAGATACTCCGCGTACTAAAGTTGTACTACAAAGTCGCCAGTTCTCAGCTTCCAGCTCCACAGATTGCTCCGCGCACTAAAGTTG